TGTCAATTCTCAACCAAGTTATATGATCATGGTTCAATTTGGTACCTGCCGCACGTGGTGCATATATGATTTTCATATTTTACTTTACCATTTGTAGGTGTTATATCATTGTTTGCTTGAATATTATATATATATAATTATAAAATTATAATTTTACATAATATATATTACTTTACCATTAGTAGGTGTTATATCATTGTTTGCTTGAATGAAGATCGGCCTGTTATTAGGACCTTAGGCCCAATTTCAAATTTTTTTTTTGGAACGGCAGGCCCAATTTGAAATTTACCTTCTCTCTCAATATATATATATATTTTGCAATTAAATCAAAATTTTAAATTTTTTTTTCTGGGGAAATTAAATTTTTAATTATTTATTAATAACATGCCATGGGACATTTTACATTTATATAAATAAGGAAAGCCTTATTTGTGTATACAAGGTCTTACAATTATATATAAGGCATATTTAAATACAAAAATAGTTACAGTATAAAATTAGAGTAAAATATTATTAACGTCATTTTAATATTAAACAAAAGTGGTAAAAAATATAATACCAGAAGTTTTGGATGAGATCTTCCTATCCTTATGCTTTGGGAAACAAAAATAATATATTTTTAAATTATAATATTATATGATATTATAAATTTATAATTTAATATATTATTATATAATTAATTTTTTATTTAAAAATTTATGCACAATATTATATATTTATTTATTTATTTTTACTTCATATTTATTTAATGTCACATCTAATATAATTATAAATTTATAATTTTACTTAATATTATAATTATACCATTACTATTTAGAAAATTACTACACGGAGTTCGAAATACCGAAGACTTACAAAAGGAAACAACTTGAACACTTTCTATTTCTTTGTGATACATTCAAATGAACATTGTTCGATATTTTAGAGACTTTGGAATATTTTTATTTCAAATCAAGCTCTTGTTGATAAAACACTTATCCTTTAGAATTTGAATCTTTTATTATAATTAAGTAGTTTTATGCTAAATTTATCATTGATAAAAAAAAATTAACTATGTTAAATATTAAATCGCTCAATGACAATATTACCTTTGTCAAAATAAGAGATATTAAATTTCAACTATAACCAAACAAGTGCATATACAAAAAATTATTTTACATTTATTCTCCCATGGTCTAAAACTTTAGGGTTTTGGAAGTGGCGAGTTGTCTCCTTCGGGTCTCTCTCTTTTTGTGGAGCCTTCCCCCTTCCCTTGTGCCTACCACCATCTTCCCTCCCCTTTAGGGTTTCTCCTTCGCGTCTTTCCCTTCAGTTTTTCCTTTGCCCTATTTTCGATACTCTACAACAAGGGAACCGCTAGTGGTCCACAAACTGGTGAAAATCTGGTCCACAAGCTGGTGTAGATCTGGTCTACAAACTGGCGCAAATTTGGTCCTTGGTGTGACAGGATTGACGATTAAGTCTCCTTTATGCTGTTGGTTGCTGGTGTTGATAAGAATGGCAGATTTCGAAATTCGGTACATGCTTAATCGCACCCTTTTGACAAAGGTTTGAAGACGGTATCCTTCCCTTGTTGTTCATCTGGAATTCCGAGGCCTCCAAGGAAGAACAACTGAGTTTAGTGGGGAAGCCCCTATGGAACCCTCGGAAGGTTTTCACAATATCTAAGATTGGGGACAAATTCTACCCGTTCCAGTTCTCTGGTGGTTAATTAACAATTGTGAATGGACAGAGTATTGTAGTGTGGGCAGACACTACATCGCTAAGTCCACTTATCTCCAATGCTAGGTTTGGGTGGTACAATAGTTGTAATTGCTAGAAGTGTCAGTAAAGTCTAGTGCATTTCTTTCTATGTTATTACATAACTTTATTTATACTCTCATGGCATATATTAATATTTAGAGCACTATTAAAATTTTGATTTTTAGCAACAAATATCAGCAACATAGGATCCTTTGTTGCTGAAAAATTGTATCAGCAACAAGGTTTTAGTTGCTAAAAGCTATGTAAGTACATTTCTGCCCTCCAAAAGTTGCTCCACTTTCAGTAACAAGGGGTATGTTACTGAAAGTAAATATCAGCAACAAACCCTATGTTGCTGATATTTTCTGGTAGCCCTACACCGCATTTTTCCCCCCAAATAAGGGTTCTATTTTTAGCAACATGTCTCTTGTTGCTAAAAGTAAATATCAGCAAGAAACCCTATGTTGCTGATATTTTCCGATAGCCTTACACTGCATTCTCCCCCCCAATAAGGGTTCCATTTTTAGCAAGATGTCTCTTGTTGCTGAAAGTGAATTTCAGCAACAAGAACTATGTTGCTAAAAATTTTAATAATTTAAAATTTAATCATTTGATAATGTTGCGGGAGTTTTTTTATTTTAAATTTTAACAACATAATACACGTCGGTGATGAGTAAAGGAATTTAAATTCAAATGAGTTTTACCAACATGATATAGGTTGCTAATAGAGG